CTCAATGCTCAATTGACTGCCTGTACCTGTAAAAACAACATGGAGACTGTGCATTGTCAACGCTTGGCCATATAGCTGTTGTCCAGCATTTCATCATGTTCCTTATTGGTGACTTGCAATGAATATAGCGTGTGTAAAAACAGTGTTTGTTTACACAAAAATTGAACATACTCATGTGTAACAACATGCATATGAGTAAGTAACTAAGCAAAACCAGTTTATTCACATAATGGTGTTTTCAATGGGCAATCAGGAACATTAAAAATAGAATTATAAATAAATAAGTACATTGTAAAAAAAATGATAATATATACCTGGTAATAAGTAAAACAACACCCATGGAGTAGATATTACTGGAAGTAAACATTAAGTTAATATCAAATTTACATATGCTAAACACGCATATAGGCCTGTGTGAAAAATGTTAAATTTTAAAATGATTCAACAATATGTAACTGGCATGAGATGTTTACTCCATAGTCACATAGTTAACCACAGCCTTCCCACAAACACAGTCTTTCTGGATAAACTAGACTGAAAAGTACCACAGTCAATAAAGACATGTTCAATGCACATACTGGAGGGTTTTCAAGTGAAAATAACTGCCAATAACAGGGTTTACTGTCAAATTAAATCAATTTTTGGTTTAAGTGAGCTTTTATTGGACTTTTTAATAATTAAAGCATATACAGTGCGTCTTCTCAACTGTGATATGTTTAGCAAATATAGCAAAGGGTGTAAAGAAATATTTATCTCCATGGAAACAGTCATAGTTTAAGTTAATAGTAGCTTTACAGGTGAGTGAAGTCGACAGTATTGGACAAGGGGTTAATGTTTTGGAATTTGTGTTCAGTTGAATAACAAATACTATAAAAATTCCGACATTGTTTCGAAACAATGACTGAAACAAAGCTGGATTCAAATGACGAGAAAGTCTCGGTTTGTTGAGCATAAAGCATTCACCTTTCGTGTTAATGCGTGCGTAATAAACAAACAAACAAACAAACACACCTGCCAAAAGAATGAATACTGTATATAAGGTTTAATTATTAGTTTTTATCTTCGCTTATTTCGCTGATTTTTGGTCATGTGACCTCATGTATACTAAAACATGATTCTAAGTAAACTCTTGCTACAAATATCATTCATTGCTTCCAACTAAAAGTTACTATCGCTAATTTCAGCGAGTTTTATTTTTGTTTTATTTGTGAGTTGTTAATTCTGAAGACAGCGGAGCTTAATTCTGTCCCCCATCTTCTACCCATGTCTGAACCTGAATTAATGATAAATTAAATTTGAATTATAATGTAAAATGGTTTATGTGTCTGTATTATGATTGGCATTATTCTAAAAAAGTGTAGTAGAAGTGGGTCATTCCATTTGATTTGAAGGGGAGTTAAAGTGCCTGTGAAATGGCTGCTATTTTCACGCATAAAATTATCCATTGATCCATAAATATTATTAATTTTTATGTTTCTAAGCATGAATTATTTTTTTAAGTGAAAAAATGTGTTTTAAACTCAATCTACGGCAACTTTATTTTTGTGTATTTTAAAACGAGGCTCCTCATTAGCTTCTTATTTGCATACAGAAATTCCCCTTGTGACGTCAGAA